TGGAGCGTATCATGGGTTTAGGGTTTAGGGTTGGGGGTTTAGGGTTTAGGCATGAACTAGTGCGGACGTGCCACTCCAAGGATCGAAGCCGACGATCTCCGTCAGCGGGGACGATCCGTGCACCGCCCGGAATTCTTCAGGGCCGGATACCAGCCTCATAATTGCAGAGCCCGGTCGGAGTTGGTTTGCTTTCAGGGTTCGGGGTTGGGGGTTTATACAGGGATGAGGTCGTTGGTTATATAAGTGCTAGCTAGCTGCGTCTGCCGGTGTGCAGCTCCTGTACCGAAGGCGGTGTATAGCATTTCAGGAGAATTCGGAGCATCATCGCCGTGTAGGTAGGTCCAATTCAAAGCCTCAAGTCTCGAATTTCAATGATGGGTCTAGCAGCTAGCAGGCTTGCACATGTACTGCAGCAAAAGCACTTGACAGAAAGGGCACACCATCTTCCGCGAGTAATCTCCTTGGGTGGCACTAGCTGTCATAGGTATAACGGATTAGGGTTTAGGGTTTTAGGGATTAGGGTTACCCAAGCTTATAGTAAACCTGCCAGTCTGTTGTATGTTATTGCTACAAAGGCTCTCTGCAGATTGAAGACCTTGCGAACAAACTCTAGATCAGCTTGGACGGCATCAAATATACCGACGAATTCCCCGCAAATCCGTTTCCCCGCCAGTTTCCACCTGGCGGGCATGTACGTAGGCCCGAACTCATTTCCAAATGGATCTGAAAACGGGTATTGGCCAGTACCTTAGACTCATGATGTCTGTACCTGTAACACGTACTGCTGACTTGCATGTTTAATGCAGCTTAGCGGCTAAGACAGTTGAAAGACCAACTGATTGTTTGCAGCACTGCATTGCGGCAATTTCCGGAGTGGTACTGCATATTCATACAGCTGATCCTCAGTCGGTGGCTAGCCCCAATGGCCATTATCCTGCTTCGATCTAATATTGCGGGCCTAATCTCAGAAACCGCGACAGCATCGTCGATGCCGGAGCCATTGGCGCCAGCATTGCAAAGACCTCGAAGCTTTGATGTCCTGAGACACCAACCGCTCAAACCAAAGCGAGTTCCAAGCTTTATTTAATGACTGCAGTATATGTAACCTCAATGCAGCCACATAGCTCGTGGATTCGGCCCCATCTCCATAAATCCGAAGCGGGATACAAAGTTTGGGATCGGTGACCTTAGGATCGAGCCGTGTTCTCCAGAAAATAAGTTGCATGGTATATATAAGCTTGCAATCTTGTGGCGCTGAGAATCGGGTGCCTTCGAAACCAACTTGTTTCGGATAGCTCGTGCCAATACATCTCCAAATCATTTTCCTTATTGGACTCCGTGAACAAAAGATAAGTCTGCGAATAGATAAGCCAGCAGCCTACAACAGAGAGAGGAAGATATAATTATATATATATAT